TACCCAGATGTGGTAAAAAAGTTCAACAAGAAAATAAATATTGATTATTATATCGAAAGTCTATTTGGTCTCTGTGCTCGTTTATAAATTACGATGATAAATATCAACCATCGCCTGAATCCCTCTCAAAAGTCTTGGATCGTAAAAAGAAATCTAAGGAGAAGAAATTAAAACTTGCTAAGGATTTATTGCAAAGCAATGACTCTTCGAGTCTAGATGAAGATGAAATAGCAAAAATTAAAGATGAAGAGGCACAGAAATCGGCTAAAAAATGGCTTAAAATTTATATTAAGAACTTACGCGATGCTCCGAAAAAAGATGAAGCCATTATCTCTCATTTATGGAAAGATGCTATTATACATGCCGAAAAATTATGCTCTACTATGAATATTAGCAGTTATATTAAAAATTCTCCACAGAAAATTAGAGACAGAGTCTCATTACTTCGTAATAATCCTTATTTCAATGCGTTAGATAAACATAAGGAATCTATTCACTCAAAATTATCAATGTTACTCATAGAAATTTCGAATACATTTACAGGATATAGAGAAGATTTGTATAAGTTAGTTAATAACTTTCATAAGTATAGCGGAGCTAGTGCCAAGGCACATATTTCTAAAAGTACAATTTTGGAAGAGTATATATTAACTGATATTTTGGAATCTGAGTGTGAGTTGTTAACAGAATTCCGAAATACATGGTATAGGGCAGTTGGTCTTGAGATTGCATGTCTTCAGGCACTATCGATTATGTAGAATAGTAAAAAAGATATCTGATCATTGATTTATATTGTCTCATGTAATGAGGATGCTTTGCATCTAAGTATTCTTGGTTGAATTGCGACACCCTACTAAGATACTTATACAATAGCGAAGCTAGTGCCAAGGCACATATTAATTATATTTTTTTGTACATAAATAATATCGAAGTTCAAATAGACAGCCTGTTATCGGATCCACGTATCCCATAGTCGATCACTTTTTTATTGTGGAGTGGGCCATAAGGCGACCCTTTGAATCCTGGCTCTTTGAGCCTACCTATATTCCACGTGCATCTCACCACGAACCATATAACGGCAATAATTAACAGAGCAAGTAATATACATGCTAATAGAGGTGACATCAATGTAC